ACCCAGTTAATTCCCCACTTGCTAATTTCCTGTGTGACCCACTATCCCAGTCAGAGGATCTGTTTAGGAGAAATTGGAGGTGGAGATAGCACATGAACAGGTATCACCATAAGAATACTCAGCACACACTGCTCTGGCAAAAGAAGAACTCTGTCTGGCCATGCAGAGCACACAAGGCACTCAGCTTCTCCTCTGCCTGGCCAAACGGGACCACAGCACCAAGTCCTACCCCATGTGACTCCACTACTCAGATGCTGGTGTACTCTAGGAATATTTGTCAGCAAGCACAGAGTGGTGACAACTGTCACTTTTTCATTTGGCACCTGTTAGCCCCGTTGGTGGTGGTGGTGGGTGCTATTTTATAACTTAAAAATTATAGAAATTATTTCCGTCACTTTAATGTACATATGTCTCTTGTCTAATGAAGCCTATAACAGGTGGCATCATTCGTGCAAAATAACATGGTTTCAGACACGGCTTATCATATTCCTATAGAATTAACTCACTTTTTTTGGCTATGGAGAACTCACCAACATTGCCATATGCAGGGATACATACATACATACATACATACTATATATATATACATACATATAATATATATACATACATACAATATATACACATACATATAATATATACATACATAAATTCACATATTTTATATAAATTGTTATTTTGGGTTTATTTATTTATTTTTATGTGTATGAGTGTATCTACACGTGGCTGTGAGCTAGCATATGGTTGCTGGGAACTGGAACCCAATCCTCTGTAAGAACAGCAAGTACTCTTAACCACTGGGCCATCTTTCCAGCCCCACATGTAGTGTTTTTTTTTTTTAACACTAATAATCAACTGCTTTCTTTCCTAAGCCTAATTCCTCTGCAGCCTAGTGTTGATGTGAAGACCAGGAGATCTTCCCTGAGTTCCCAGGCATCTCTGCCTTCACCCACAGAGCCCCCAGCCCACTCTTCATTACCAGCCAGCCCTTTCCTCCTCCCTCCTAAGTCAAAGCCCCAGCCTCAGCTGTGTGTATTCTGAAGTCAGCAGACTGCTTGTACAAACACCTTAAACTCAGGTTGGATGGGTATGAGAAAACAGGATTCAGAAAGGTTTTCATACTTTATTAAGAAGCCTGTTAAGTTTTGAGAAAGGTGCTAAAGTTACCTAAAGGCATGAAAATACCAACGCCTACATACTTCCAGAAGCATCTCTGTGATCAGAAGCACCCTAAGTAAGCTTCCTTTCCCTCTTACCCCTACTATCTCGTGAAGACTGCCTGCTGAAGACGCTCCCAGATGCCGAAACGCCCTTCAGGAAAATGTGTTCACTAATTCTCTGGGCTGGTGTGGGAGCAAACCTTGGCTCATCTGTACTTGATCACTTGTACAACTATTTTGCAATCAAGACCAGGAAAGAACAGGCCATGGGAAACTGTGAGCAGGACCCTGCAGTGAGAAACTGTTAGGTCAATGAAAGTGGTGGCCTGAGAACAGGGCTCGCAGACAATGACAGAGAAAGCCAGAGTCTCTTCGTACCGAGGGCTTCTTCTGAAGCCTCGTGTCCTCCCGAAGCCTCCAGCTCCACACATGTCGACTAACTGCTCTCTGTCCCATCACTCCACAGAGGTGAGAATTAGTTTACGTCTACAAATGACTGCAGAGCAGAATTTATTATGTCATATTTATAAACAGCTGCAGAAATAATCACATGCTACCATGGTTCCTAATGCCACTCCACTTCGCTCAGGACACAACTGCTCCTTCTCCTTCTGTTAAAAACCACTTGTCCTCATCTTACAACTGAGTGGCTCTGACATTTCTGCAGACCTTCAGGCTTGTGTCAGAGATAGCCAGACACACCACCATCTAACCCCCATCTTGTTCCATAGCAGCTTCCACTCTCGTGGGATCCTAGCTGTCTGCCTCTCAGCAGTATTTGATGCTGTCCATCTCAACCAGAGCTCCCTGGCTCAGAGCTTGTCACAGGCTTTCCAGTTGAAACGGGCATGGCCAGTCTTTGGAATTTTGCCATCATTACCTTCACAGGTCTGGACTTGTTTTATTGCTACAAGTATGGTGTAAGTATTTTTTATAAAAATATACAAGTCAATGACCTGCTCTCTTGTGCTGAAGAGATTGCTTATGTTAGTTTATAAGTGGGCAAAGATTGAGTATGTGGAAGAACGCTCCCACCAACCACATAGAGAAATCTCACTGAGTAACATGTTCCACAGATATGTCTAAGCATGGAACAGGTCAATGGGTCCTTGCTGCAGCGTGTACAGGAGCTCTTACTTTAACAATGGCACTTGACCTCTGCCACAGACAGAAGGACCCTGAGCATTTCCTCTCACTGGACAGACTTCACACAGATAGAAGCCTGTCCTGCCCTGGTATTATATATTAAGTACTGGCTGAATGAATGTAAGTCTGACAACTAGATTCAGTGGGTGGAGGGGGGGACTACAGGAAAAGCGACACCCTCTGCATGAGACTTTCTGGAACATGCAATTAACATACTAAGAAGAGTCACTAGCCACACACAGCCCGATGTATGAATGTATAAGTTTTGACCCCTCCTGTATGGGGGTGACCAGCCAGCATGCATCCTGAATTTTGTATCATTTATTGTGGAGCTAAGTCATTCAAATTAAGGAGGCAGCTCTGCTAAGAGCAGCTTTGAATCAAACCTGAACCCACATCAAGCAAGCTGAGACAATGAATCTGCTATGGCCTGTAGTTCAGTCACCAGAAGCAAATTCCACTGTAAGTTCTGATAGTCTAAAAACTGTTTTTAGAAAGGCTAAAGACCTATAAGCATAAAATTGTATTTGTTCCAATTTATTCATTTCAGTAACTGGAGAAAAAACAAACCCGAGTTTCCACTGAAGTGCTTTATGCCTAGTGGTAGTCACAGGCTCCCTAACCTATCTTGACAGGCAATGCACTCAGGACTGACGCCACACCTCTCTTCTTTCCACTGCCTACTGCAATAATCAGGGATTCCCACAGACCTTTCTCATCTACACTTTGCAGCAGGTTATGTCCCCAATCCTTTGAGCCTCACAGGTGGGCCAACTTTCCCTCCAGCCATATCTGTGTCCAATCTGGGTCAAGGGTAGGTTCAGGACCGACAGACAGAAGCACTGGCATTTCTCAACTCTATGATTTCCTCTGCTGTCCTACATACCCAGCCTCTGGATTCTTACGTTCTTCAATCTACATCCTGAGAATCTAGCCATCACTTATCTTTCTTTGTTTCTTGTTTTGTTTTGACAGGATCTCACTTTGTAGCCCAGGCTGCCCTCAGACTTGTGATTCTCCTATCTCAGCTTCATTTTCAAAAGAGCCTCCACCTGAGTCCCAAGGCTCCAAGCACTGATCCTTCAGATTTACCTGGAGAAACCTAACCTTCCTTTACATAGTAATCCACTCTCCTCCCCAGAGCCCTTGTTTTAACACAACCAACCAACACTGAACACATCACAAGCCAGGCAGATGGATGTCTTCTAAGCAGTGCTAGACAAGGACATTATTTATGTTTTTCAGATATAAAGTGTGGAGGTTAGAAGAGATATCAGGCCTGTCAAGTCTCTATCTTCCAGGTCCTCCTTGTCAGGTTCAGAGGAAGCTCCATTTCTTCAAACTTATGGTCAGACAAAAGCCAGTATTCCTCAGAAACCTATGAAGCTGGTTCCCTCTAAAAAGCCATTTCCTGTATCACTGGCAGAAGGCAACTCAAACTTAGCAAGGACAGGTGAAGAAAATAAGAGACCTTGTATATCAAGTATAAAAGTAGTTTAAAACGAAACTCACAAAGTCTTTTTTTTTTTTTTTAATGTCTGTTCACAGTAACTGAGCAGCAGAAGCAGCAATCTGCAACAAGTGGGTGTTCTTTCTGGCCCAAGGGAGAGGTTGGCCAAGGCTCACAGGTGAGCTGCAACCACACATTCAGGGACAGGGCTCTTGAAATAGAGCCTGATTAAGCCATCCTCAGTACAATCACTTGCCAGAGCTGTAGTGCCTTTCCTGACAGGTCCACAGTAGGTCTAGCCACATCCTCTCGACCACCCTGAATGGTCATAGAAAACTTTAAGATGTAACTTATACAGAAGCCCTGTGTTGGTGCTATAAAAACCAGAGCTAGGAGACAGAGTGGACGGGCATGAGCAGCATCTGAACCAGAGTGTGGACTCCTCCATCTTAGCATCTATGTAAAGCCGACAGGATGGAGACAGTGAGCTGGGAGGAGCAGGACCAAATGGCAGGTCACCAGCAAGTGGTACTCACTTGCTTTCTAAGTGGGAACAGCACAACAGTGCTCGCCCTGACAGATAGCCCCAGACTGTTTGCCGGGTGTCAGCACAGCTTAGGAAATGTGAGTGGGATTTGTCTTTCTGGCCAACAGAGCCCCACAGAACAATGCTTAGTGTAACAACGTGTCTAGAACTACTGGGTTCCCAGACTTCGAGTACGTTTAAACTTAAAATTTTGTATTTCAGTTTTTAAAAAGCAAAGCAAGTTTTTTCATAAGATCTCTGAGTTCTGAAACTCAGATATAAACCTATTATAAGTAAAGAGAGAAATCAGAACTCTTCTATACTGTCCAGTAAAATTGTCTCAGTGTTTATCTGATTTCAACAGTGTGAAAAAGAGTTCTACAGATCCCACGTGCCACAAAAAATATTCCCTGCAACATCTGGTGAGTCTTCCCTGCTGGGCCAGGTTCCATGTTGTCTCTTTCTCCTGGTGGAATGTTTTATCCCTACACGGGAAGCTCAGCGTGATTTCAGGAGCTAGCTTCAGTGTAACTGTGAAGAAACACCAAACTTATCCCAGCTTACCTGTCTCTGTGCCCTGTGATTTGGCATCTATGTGTTTAGTACCTACCAACAACAACTTCTCTTTATAAACTGTTCTCAAAAACCAATCAATGAGGTTAAACTAATTGGGAAACATGAAGAGAAAGCCCACAAGACAGGTGGGCGGGGCACTTACCGATACTTCCACAGACTGCATGGAGAGGTCACATGGTGGCTTCAGGGCCTTAGGCCTGGTGGCATACCAGAAGGTGGTGAGTGCTGCAAAAGCTCCGAACCCCATAAGGGTGTTGGTTGGAAGGGTACGCACGTACTGCCGGATGTCAATCAGCTCTGGCATTCGAAAATACCGGAACAATTCATGGACTTCCATGGTTCTGTGTTGGTGGTTCTCTAGGCAGAATTCTGTTAGAAGAGAAAGGTGCCATGTTCATTCAGGGGGCAGGGCACGTCTCTAGAATTCACTCAGGCCACTCACTAGTACTATAGCTTGCTGAACAATCAAGACATTAACCTCCAGTCAAATGGGCCAGGTCTTTCCCCCTCAGAAAACTTTCATTTTTCTGATAACATTTTAATCGTTTAGTTTTTAATCATTTAGTTTTGTTCCATTTCTCCATTATAGTGTGTAAAACAATTTTTTTATTAACCACATTAAGAAGATTTTACTCAAAGAATTCTTGCCATTAAGATACTCCTATGTTCAGAAAAAGAAATTACACCTTTGTCCTCTCCCACCTAATCGAACACACTCAACCCTCATTCTCAAGGCTAACAGGGGTAATGCGAGTGCAGAAGCATGAACAAGCCCAAACCACCTAAGGGCCATCAGCTGCTGCATTTGCCAAGGCTCCAGAACAAGTTTCCCAACTGGTAAAACAGACCAGCCTAAATTTCAACATGTCTCTCAGCTTCCCAACAGGAGTGGCTATACATGTCAGGAGATCCCATGATTGGCTGTCCTAATTAGATTACTTTCTTTTATATTCCCCAAGATACCATACCTAAAATGAAAAAAGTAAATTGGTGTGCATTCAGAGAATTTAAAACAAATGTCAGAAGTGTAGAGAGGGGTCATGGAATTGCATTTGTAAGAAGGCAGTATTGAAGACCACACTCTGGAACCAGGGTCTGCCTTTATGCCTTACTGGCAGTCTGAAGAGCTTACTTTGCCTGGCTGAACGCTGGTCTGTGTCTCTGTACATGGAAATGAAGACAGTACCCACTCCAGGGAGCTTCCAGTCCTACTCAGGATCCCCATCAACAGCCGAGGATGGTACCACACAGGAAATTGTTCAATCAATGTTACACACTGTGATCATTTCCCTACCACAGCTCTCTCCTTAGTCCTGGGCTCAGAACACGAGGTTACCATGATAATAAAAATGCTTACCTATAGTTTACAGATCCAAATGAGAAAGCAAGATACACAGAAGAAAGCTAGGTAAATATTAATATATTTCAAAGCCCTAAATTGCATCTTATAAGCAATTTATATAGACTAGCCTAAAATAATTAACCATGCACTAGAGAAAGAGTAATATCACTTCTAATTTACGAGCTTATTAATGAATAATTGCCCTCAAGGCTTGCTCACAGCAAAGGAAGAAAGAGGAAAGAGCCCAGAGACTGCGCTAAACTCCACAGCAATGCAATAAGCACTTGCCCTGCTACTCCAAGCTCAGACACCATACATCCATTCCTTTGAAAGCTAGGTCGCAAGATTGAAAGTATTCTTTTGAAATATAGAAATCATCCTTTTAGGTCAAATTTATACTATTATACAATTCCCCCCCCCCCAAAGAATATCAGAATAGCAAGCTGCTTTTTCTAACCAACAATATGACAGGACCCAACTAATGATAGATTCACTCAACTTGTTCAAACTTGTGCCATGGCTCTAATTAAGAGTAAGCATACATACATGCGTGTGAGTGTGGATGCATACACACACACACATACACACAGAATCACAAAGTTAACAACCCTAACAGATAAAGAACAGATAAGCAAGTCTCTTCAGATTTTAATTCTAGAAAGAAAGTGCTCGTGCCTACAAAAGCACTCACCATCTGTGCCACCGACAGCTGACTGCTAGGTGACACACCACAGCAGAATCAGAAAAGGGCAGTGAGGATGGGGGGGGTTGGGTGGGGGCTGGGGCAGCTCAACGGGTGCTTACCAGGCCTGCCAAGGTCTTTCAGGGCGTTAGTCACATGCGAGTCCTACACTGCTGCCCACTGGGCTAAAGGTAACTAGCAGACAAAATCCATACTTGACTTCTTAGGGGAACAGAGGGTGGAGGATGGGCCAATGAGCAGCTGAGAGTAGAGTCACCCCACCGCTCCACCCATGGGCAGGGACCAGCATCAGTGAGTGTTGCTGCCAGGGGCAGTTCTTCAAACAGACACTGTTTTCATTTTGCTCAGCTTCCCAATAAGAAGAAACAATGGATAGTTTTTTTTTTTCAACCACTGAAATGAAGGCTAGGATATATCAGGTGAGATATCTAACCACCACAAGACAACTTGGAGAGTAAGATACCAAAATACACTCAGAGCGTATTTGCTCTAGGTGTATTCCTAGGCACTGAGCTCTTCCTATCATTCTGTATATCTCAGTGCCTAGGATGTACCAAGCACTGTGCTAATGATCAAGCCATCTTTTCAACGGGTTAACCACCCAATGAGGAATGAAATGAAATGAGCAAGCCTATTAAGCATCAGGAATGGTCCTTTTGAGAAACAGAAGCCTATGCTGAGACTTTCAAGGATAAGCAAATAAAATCAGGCTCAGGTCTTATTGGCACCGGCCACTGAGACTTTGTAAATAGTATTACAACTTGGCATGCGTACCATCTTCAGATCTAACATGCAAATTTGCCTTGGCCTCCGATCATTCTGTTCCACTTGTCTTTGCTGTCCTTCGTCATTCTGAGTCTGAAGAGGCATTATCCACCCTTGCACACATACTATGGCCCCTTCTTTCTTCAGTATCCGGGGAGTCATTTCCACAGCATCTAGAGTGTGTGGACTTATAGGAGCTGACTACAGCAGAATTACACCCTTGGGCGAGACTGTCAAACCACCTAAACAGTCACACACAGGGGATTAACTTATCTATTTTAAGCAGTGGCAGCTAAGATATAGAGTGCATTATGCAAAGAAAGTTTAATAAGGCTAGGAAGAAAACTGTTTTTAAAACTGTCTGAGAATCATATATTTATAGCATACATGCAAGAACATGTTATTAGATGCTAATCTGTAACACTAAGCATTTAAATCCCGTGAAATCCTTACGTTTAGTGGGTGATAAGGACAAGTGATAGCCATTTAATCCATGCTAGGAGCCAGGTACCAATCTGCAGAACAACTCTCCTGTGTAACTTGGTAAGACTTACACCGGAACCAATGTACGAAGAGAAGGCAGTATTTAGTCATGTCAAGAACAATTATTTAACAGTGATCCCCTTATAAATCTTTTTTTCTTCTACTTGAATGGTGTTAAGGAAAAGCTAATCAGATACTTAAAAAATAGAAGTGGGCTATGAGTCAAACAAAATGAGTCACTGTAAACAGCCATTTTGTGTTCTGTCTGAAGATAGATCATACTTAAGATCAAGTCCTGAAAGGTCTTTGGGCCCTTGCTACTAAGTTGTTAAAACTAAGAGACACATGCGTTCTTCAGTCAATGGTGTTCTGTTGGAAATTTTCTGGGATTTTTTTTTCAAAAGCAAATTTCCATATGTACATCTGGCAGAGCTTACAGCTCAGGCACATACATCACACTGTCATCTGCTAATAACATGATTCAGTTGGCTTAAAGTCTTAGGAAGACGTGTGTCTCGGTGTGGAACATACAGGCTTGCCGGCAGCCAGTTGCTCCTTCTGCTACAGCTGCTTCTGGGCAGCCTTCCTCCCCTTCTTACAGAATGTGTCTAGGGGGCTGGAGAGATGGCTCAGCACTTGCTGCTCTTCTAGAGGACCAAAGTTCAGTTCCCAGCAGCCACTCTGGGCAGCTCAGAACCACATGTATCTCCAGATCCTGAGGATTTCACCTTCCTCTGGCCTGTTGTATGTATGTTATGTATCTGGCACCCACATACATGCAGCATACAAAAATACTAACAAACACAGACATTTTAAAAAAGTGTTTTCTCAGCTGGCCTGTCTGAAATCCTCTAACACTAGAGTCAGAAACCACAGGATGATGGGAAAGTAGCAGCAGTGAAGAAGAACAAGCAAAGAACAAGATCAGAGGGTGCCCCTGGGTATGCACGGGTGCAGGAAACAAGGAAGATCGGTGCAAACTCGAGCGATAGCATGACCATCAAAACCCAGGAATGCTGGGACCCTCTGCCCAAGCTCAAACAGAATCACCAATGACTGACTCACTGCTTCAGGGAGTTTTCACATCCTTCATCTCCCTGGAACATCACAGTGACCACGAGGAAAATCAGAGGCAGAAACAGAAACGGCTTCTCAGAGATGTTTGTCAGAGCAAGACACTAACCTGACCCTAAACCCAGTTTACATGAACCACTCTTCCTCTTGGCTATTACCCTGACCTGCTCACTGAGAACGGATACGCAGATAGCTGCACATGAACTGCACTAGTAATACTGCTTGGTGTTAGGAGACCCAAACCTGAACTCTCGATATCTTACATAAATGATCCTGTCTCCCTGGCCTCTGCACATATGGACTCAGTGCCTACTGTACACAAAGGTTCACTTCTTACCACTGTGTTTGCATTATAAAACAAAAAATTAGCTCAGAGTCAGAGGTGATCCACAAGGGCACTGTTCTCCCTAAGGACACAGGAAGATGGACGCACGTGCGCGCGCACACACACACACACCACACACACACACACGACTCTTCAAGTTGTGCAAAGTAATATTCTTTTACTTACAGTAGCATTTTATTCTCTCCTGGAGATCTAGATATTTTTCTCCTCCTGACGTTCCTCGAGCTTCTATTAAGCCCAGTAACAGCAGTTTGATGGAATGTTCCACCAGGAATGCAGACCTCAAACAAACCCACACAAATTGTACGCTTGCCCGACAGAGCAAATTGAGAAGTCCTGACATCTTTCCTTAATGCAGCAAGCCAAGCTGGCATGGTGCTGCCATTCCCTGCCCCACCTCCTCCCCTGACACAAGAAGCTATTTACAAGGCTGAAAGTGCCCCTTTTGTCCTGTACTAGCTGGGCAGAGCTCAGGCCCCAGGAGGAACAAGAGTGGGGCAGCCAGGCCATTTGCTGCTCTTTCAGTCTGCCATTCCAGAGTCATTGGAGCCGTGCTCCTTAACCCGGGCTGGCAAGCTACCTAAAGCTAGATTTGTTTAAGCCATAGCCTAGGAACCAAAGAACACTGGGGCTGTCCTCTAGAGAAGGAAGTACTG